TTTTATCTACACCCTCTCCAAATACAGGTTATTGTGGTTCTCTTCTCTCTACTTTCAATCTTCAAAATTATCACTTGAAAATGACAATTAAACCCTAACCCAGAAAAGAAAGTGGTTAGTCGTGGTTCTCTTCACTCCACAATTTCAAACTTCAAAATTATCACTTGAAAATGACCATTAAACCCTAACCCAAAAAGTGAAAGTGGTACGAAGCGCATACCCAGAACTTTGTGTGGACCTTATCACTGCCCAATGATCGATTCATCTTGTAACGTTAAGTGGCTTTAGATTTCACGTTATCCAAATCAAATTCCACCCACAACTCTCAAACAAGCCTCACCAAACACCAAATCACAATCAACACCAGCAATCACTTAGGCTTGCATGCTTGTCAAGCAAAGATTCAAGCATAAAAGAAGTAGCACCATTATCTACACCATAAGGAATTGCACCAGCATCTACAATATAATCTGATCAACAAAATGAAACAACAATAATATGTGCGAACATCATATTAGTAAAACATACAAGGTTATGGAAGCAAAAATAAGTGCCAATCTTTTATATTTAACACAATAACACACAATACATGCATAAAACACAATACCAACTCTTCCTCCAAATGCATATTATCATCTCCATTCTAATGAAGGAGATACGGAAGCTCAAGCACCAACTAATTTATTCTCATCACGAAAAAGAAAAAAAAGGAACACCAGCTACTTGTATCATCAATTGCCATGGCAGCCTTCCCTAATCCTGCATCAAGAAAGCTCCATCTTAATTCATGAATAAAAGTACATCCATCAGGAGAAGAAAACATATCATTATAATATAATATACTTGCAAGTATAAATACGAGAATATTTTTTCAATACTTTACTTAGTTCTTTGATAAGAACATAGTGAATTAAAATAATATAATTTGTCAAACTCACTTATTCTTATAACTACATAGAAAGTAAATACGAAGTAAAATTAAATTAAATTAAATATCATTGTCCTATTATTGTAATATAAAAATATTAGACTTAATATTAAAATGAAATATTTATAAAACTTATTAAAAATTAAAAGAAATAAATTAGCTACCAAATCAAATTAATATTTAATTCTTAAAAATTAATATTTTGTAGTATAGATTTTTGAACATTTTTGAGCTCATGTAAATGATTAATAATTTTTTTAAAAATATTTTTTTTATAAATGTATCTTAATTGTATCAATATTCTATTTTTTTTTTATTAAATTTTCTTGTAATCATATCTCCTATTTTTTTTAAATTTTCTTACATTGTAACTTGTATTCTATACTTCCTAGCCGAATAGTACCTATGGACCGGAGGGAATCCACCACCATAATAAATATGTATGTATGTATATATTTACTCGAACTCGGTCGTAGCATATAGTTCATATCGTCAGTGTCTATCATCATCCATAAACCTCCATTGTCCAAATCCAATGAAACCGACGTCGGTTCTCTCCGAATAGTCCAACCCATCTCCGAATCTCACCTTAAAACCGCTTTCTCTCTCTGGATTGATGTATATAGAGAGAAAAACAAAGATTTATTTATAGAGAGAGAGAGAGAGAAAGGGGTAAGGGGATTAGAGGTTCTTTTTCTTTATCTTTTTTGGTTCTGTGGTATCTGGGTTGATGGTTTTCTTAGTCTTTTTTCTTGCTTTCTCGTGAAGAATCACGCAAAATCTCATGAATTTTCTTGGCTACTGTAATTAGGTCTATATATAGAATGCAATCTAGTGTGCGTACGTATATAAGAAGCTGTCACTGTCGTCAGATTATTCGTGTGTGAGTGAGAAGAATTTTTTTAACAAAATTGAGGCGGCGGAGTGGTGTTGATGATGACGAGTAGCAGTCAGGCTGTCGCAGTTCGCAGCAAAGGCATCGCAACATGCATGACATGTCCCATCTGCAATAAGCTATTCAAAAATGCTACCACCATCACTGAATGTCTTCACACATGTGAGTCCTCTCTATCCCTCTCTTTCTCTCAATCTCCTTTTGTGTATCTTGTTTTTCTCTTACTTGTTCTGATTTTCGCATCGATTCGATTCTCACTTTCGCATTTTCTGATCTGATTTATCTCAGTTCAAGTCATCATCTCCGATATGGGTATCGCTTAATTTCTCCTTTTGTTGTGATCTGGTTCTTGTCGGCTTCGCATCTTTTCGATCTGGGTCGGCTTCATTTTACGTTATTTTTTACTTTCTGGTTCACAGTTAGGTAGATAAAAGAAAACTTAATTTTTCCTTCTATGAATTTTTTTTTTTTTTTTTTCGGATTTGAGTAGACTTCTTTTACGTCTGTTTTTTGACTTATGGTTCTTAGCTAGCTAGATATATACAATAATGCTCAATTTTACGTTTTGTGATCTCGTTCTTCTTGTCTACTTTGCAGTTTTTTGATTTGGTTACATACAAGAATGAATAGGATAAATTAATGCTAGATTACTGTTTTCTCTTGTTATTTGGGTTGTAAGCAACGCTAGAGTTGAACTTATCTGATAGTAACTATACGTGCTACGTTAATCAAGAGAGAATTTTGATAATTTTGATGGGTAGTTGTGTCAAATCAATATGGGTTAATGGACATGATTGATAATTAGTTGGTTTGCATATCTATGCCATAAGCATGAGTTCCTTTTTGGTGTTTTATATAACTATCTATCTATCTATATATATATATATATTAAAGTATTGACCTGAATAGTTTTTAAATATTTTTACTACACGAAAGTGCACCAAAATGTCAGAATTCTGTTTGGACGTGAGATGTCTACTCTATGTTGTGGGTTTTGTGACAACTTCATTTTAATCATTTGGGGTTTTCTAGAAGTTACTGCATAGTTGCATGGTGCAGAGCTTCTAGGTAGGTCAATTTTCAATTTGCACAAAAGACGTATCACATGCAAATATCTTTTGAGAATGCAATTTAAAATAACATGTGTAGCTATACTTGAGCATGTGTTTCATAGTCATAAAAGATGTAAATATCTAATATATATTTTTTGTAATTTTGAAATAGTTTGCAGGAAGTGCATATATGGCAAGATTACAGAAGAGGGGTTGGGAAACTGTCCTGAATGCAAAGTATATCTTGGTTGCGCTCCATCGAAAAAACTCAGGTATGATGGTCTTGTACTCTTGTTACACTCCTATTTAGAACTTGACACATCGATCAGTTGTTTTTGCATGTACTGAACTTTGTGAAGTGTAGATACAGTTTGCTTAAAAATGTACATAGCAAACCCTGAAATATGATGCAGATAATTCATAACTATTATCAAGGAAGTGCCTGTCATGTTCAGATTTAAAAGAACATGGACTTGAGAAGTATGTGGGCAATATGGGTGATGAGTTGTCAATCAACTATGTTGTAAGTGCTGAAAATGATGTCACTATGCAAAGATGCATCTGTTTATTGCACAACTGTATTTCTATTTTCATATATCCAACTCTTTGTTTGACAATGATGTGGTGATTTGGATAAAAATGAATTTTTTTTTTTTTGGATAACCGGGTGTCCATGATTTGGATAAACCATATGATAGTTAATACTGTACAGTTCTTGTTTAATGGAGAGATACTGTGGATGGTTTTGCAAAATGTGTTTCTGTTAAAATACAGTGTTGGATCATTGTAATTTTGCATTTTTCATGATTGACTGTCATACATATCAGCTATTAATGTCCTAAGATCTGACATGATAGGCAAGCGAAGGTTTTTAACTGTTTGTATAAATTCTTCAACCAAAGTAGATAAAGCATAGAAACTACACGAATTTAGTTCCAGTAAAATGTGTGTTTAAGGACTTCTAAACCTTGGTAAGGCAATGTAATGCTCTGCTTTCTACCATTACGATCAATTCTTCTAAACCTTGGACAAGCAATTTTTTTTTTTCTTTTTTTTTGGGCCCATTGAATTTTTGATTGTATTGTGTTTCAAAATGTTAACATTATATCAGTTATTTGCTTGTATCAGCCACTGTAATTGGGCTGTATGACCTAATGGTGGTCTGCTTACATGAACTTATGATAATTTTCTTCGACTATATATATGGAGTTTTTCTGTGTTATCTCTGTTTGAGAACCACAATGTATCTTGATTATTTTCAGATTTCTAGTTTTACCAGTAACTAGTATGATAGTTGGATATAATTTTCGCTTAAGCAAAAGACAAGTGTTGAAATCACAGATAGAATAAACAGCATGATTGAAATACTTAAGCTATAACTCTCCTTCTCTTATTCTTTCTTTTGTGTGTGCCTTTGTTTCTGTAACTGTTCCGCTATGTGAATTTGTGTTCTACTCCAAATTACCAAATTTAAAGGAAAAACAAGAAATACAAACTAACTTTATGCGTTTGGTTGGAATAGAGGTCCATGTTAATCAAAATTTCCTTTGTTTTCCATTAACCTGCAGGGCCGACCATAGTGTGCAACATATGAAGGCTTCAATCTTTGATTCCTTTAAAAGAAGAGAGCCTAATCCTTTGCTTACTACAATAGAGTCAATGGAACCTGAAGTTATGCCCACTATTCCATTGCTTTCCAGAAGTAAGGAAAGATCTCTCTCTTCCTTGGTTAGCCAACCTAAGGCATCAAATAGGGCTGCAATGAGTAGAAGAAAGAAATCCTTGCCAAGAAAGTTCCTTGCTTCACGAGGATCCACTTTATCCATTGAGGAGCTAATGAAGAACAGGGAAGCCATTCCCGAGAACTCAAGCCCTCTTGTGACTCTAACCAAGATTGCAGAAAATAAAAAGCCGGTAACAAGTTTACAGATTGCTCATTTGCACTTGTAACGATTAATTTGTTTAAAAAAGTTAAGGAAAAGCTTTAAATTGAGAATGGTTATGCTTTTACTAGGCTAACAATTTATTATTATTGTTGTGATGGCTTCAGAATTTCTGTGCTGGTGAGTCATCTAAGCAAAATGTGCCTTGTGAATGTGCAAAGGCCCCTGTTGAGCCATTGGAAGGTATGACTGCTCTGTGGAAACCTTTGAATTGTCTTGTAGAAACTGCAGGTATAACAAAGCCCGACAAGTCTATTTTGCAAGAATCTGTGGCAAATTCAGCACTGCCCATTGTCCATGAAGATGAAGAAAATGCGAACAAAATTACCAAATTGAAGGAACGAGCTAATAAATCTAAAGTCAACAATGATGAGGGTCGACCAATTCCCGTGCCATCAGGTTCAGAAAAACCTAAAAAGAATCATAGGGGTCGACCAAAACGAGCTATGGCCACTGAAGGGACAAATATTGCACCACAAGCTGTGGTTAATGCTGCAAGCACTATGTGCTATAGAAAAGTTCATCCAATTTGGCTGTCCTTGATTCCTTCTGATGCTCAGTTAGGTTCTACTAGTTTTTTTGAATTTACAAATTACAAGTATAATTAACGTTAACTATGTCGTATCGTTGATCTTATGTATGTTAATTGTATGTTTCGTGATTAGTGATTTTAGGGAAGGAGATGCACCGTTGCCACAGTTACGCTCCTGCTACTTGATGATAAAGTAAGTCCCCTTAGCACCACCACTTTGCTTATATATCTCTATTTATTTATTTTTTAATGAAGAAAATCTCATACTCTTACTATGATTTTTTGCACCATGTTTCTGTTTCTAATGAGAACGTCATTGCTACAATATTGTACTTGAGATATGCATAGAATTCTTACATGTTTGGCTTAATATGCTTTAGTTAGGTCATGATATCTATGTGTAGAGATACTGCATTGCTATTTGGTCCAGTTGAAATTGAGTAAACTCTGCCCTGATCTAGAAAACACCTGTCTGTGTTGTAATTTATTAACGTATTTTTCTTCCTCTGAGCTACAACTGCGAACACGTTCACTAAGCATTAGTTTTGTCCTCTTGGAGTAATGATGGTGTCTTAATTATTTAACAAAGTACAAATAGTGTCACGATCCAAACCCGCTCCTATAGGTTTAGTGTAGTAACCAGCCAGTAATCCGCAACTACCGAAGGCCTAACCAAACCAAGCAAATAAACGGGGCTAGCGAAAGCTATAACATAAGTAGATTAAACGTCCAATGAGCTGTAAATTCACATGAGACAGGGGATATTACTATATGTATAAGTAGATACATGCATAAGTACATCAAGCCATCGCAAGTTTTCCAAAAGACAATTACAAGAGATGAGTCACTCCCATCGAAAACAAAATAATGACAGTGGCGGTTGATCAAAATACATGAGCGAGTTACAAAAGGGTGCACACAGGCCACCTCAAAACTCTGGTAAATGGGAACCTTGCAATGACGCACGGAGGTTGGCTTGACAAAATCGAAGTGAGGCTGACGCCACTATGTCCTTTCTTGAGCTGGATCACCTACATGATATAACAAAATATAAGCTAAAACCCAGTGAATAACAGCTGAATAAAGAGATTTTGAACGGTAATTATAATGTAAATTAAAACACATACTGAGCAGACTCATATGACATTTAAGAAGTATAACACATCACCTAGTGCATCCAAAAGCAATAAAATACAGGCGGTCCAGAGGACCGAACAGACGGTCAAGAAGACCGGATAGACGATCATAACGACCGAAGATCAGATATGATAGACAACACCATATTAACCCAGAGTTCCATGAAATGGGACTGACGGATCTGCAATCACATAAATGGTGCCAGGGTTGCCACAGTAAACAAGGAAAACAGTGATAGAATTATCATTCATTACATAAGAAACCTTCGGAGTAATGCGTAAATTCGAAATAGAGAAAAGATACTTGCAATTAAACATATTTGTATAACAGTGTTACTCACAGTCAAGTCTGTGTTGCAGTCGTTCAGAATGAGGTGTTTGACCTTGATGAGTTGATTTAGTGTAATTGTTTCAAGTTCTCTTCTCTTGTCCTTCTTTCCTTTTCTTTTCTAGCCTTCTCTCAAACTCTAGCACTCATTCTTTCTCTCTTTCTCAGGTAATATCTCTCTCTCTCTCTCTCTCTCTCTCTCTCTCTCCTATTTGAGTTCAATATATTTATATATAAAATATCCCAATTCTTTAACTTAGATTAACTACATAAGAGTCTCTTTAATTAACTTGCCTAATTAATTAATTGTATTACTACCTATCTTAATTTAAGGTGAGCTTATAACTCTACAATTTAACGAATTAGACAGGTCTTTTCGTAAAGGAACATATTTGTTGACAAACACAATACACAAAAATAGGCATATAAAACAAAAATAGAAGCATAATTCAGATTGATCATAAAAGTAACAGCTAAGGAAAAAGGCGGGTGTTACAGTCTCTCCCCTTTATGGTGTTTGGTCCTCCAAACTCAGCGTATCTTCTTCAATAAAGAGTGCAGGGTCTAATGGAAACAATTCAAGGTATTTCTCTTGCATATCTGCTTCCCTTTCCCAAGTTGCGTACAAGCCACTATGGTTATGCCAATCCACATTTACCAACGGAATGTCTTTATTCCTCAACCTTTTGATTCGACGGCTAACAACCTGAATAGGTCGTTCCATATACGTATAATCACCACGCATTGGTATCTGAGTAGGTTCAACCACTTGTTGAGGGTCTAAGAGAGACTCCCTTAGCATGGAAATATGGAAGATGTTATGTATATGTTTCATATCCGGAGGTAGAGCTATTCGATACGCCACCGGACTCAGTTTTTCAATAATCTCATAGGGTCCAATGTAGTGAGGCGCTAACTTGCCTTTAACTCCGAAGCGAGTGTGTCACTTCATTGGCGTAACTTTAACAAAAACATAGTTGCCTACTTCGTATTCTCTTGCTCGTCTACGCACATCAGCGTAGCTTTTCTGTCGGCTTTGTGCGGTTTTCAACCTTTGCTGGATCAACTTTACTTTCTTAGTGGTCTCTTGCACAAGTTCAGGTCCCAATAATGGTCTATCTCCAACTTCTGCCCAACAAAGTGGCGACTGGCATTTCCTGCCGTAAAGAGCCTCGCACGATGCCATGTCGAGACTTGAGTGATAACTATTGTTGTACACAAATTCAACCAAAGGCAAATGTGTTTCCCAATATCCTTGAAAATCCAATACACACATACGTAGCATATCTTCGAGTGTTTGAATCGTTCTCTCTAATTGGCCATTTGTTTGGGGATGGTATGCACTACTCAACCTCAACTCAGTTTCAATTGCCTTTTGCAAACTTTACCAAAACCTTGAAGTGAACTTTGGATCTCTGTCAGACACAATTGATACAGGGACTCCATGCAATTTCACGATTTCATTCATATACAACGTAGCCAATTTATCCACATTATATGTCGTTTTGACATGCAAGAAACGAGCAGTTTTGTTAATCGATCTACGATTACCTAAATAGAATCCATACCTCTACTGGAGCGAGGCAAGCCAACCACGAAATCTATCGTGATATGTTCACACTTCCATTCTGGTATTGGCAATGGCTGAAGCAATCTTACTGGTCGTTGATGTTCCGCCTTAACTTGTTGACATTGCAAGAATTTGGATACAAATTCAACAATTTCCCTTTTCATTCCCGGCAACCAAAAATTCTCCTTTAAGTCTTGCTACATTATTGTGTTCCCCGGATGGATAGAGAATTTGGAACTATGGGCTTCTTGGAGAATCCGTGTCTTCAAATCACTGTCATTTGGTATGCACAACCGTCCTTAAAATTTGAGAGTGGCGTTCTCAAAACTGAATCCCGGTCTAGGTTTAGATTCCCATTCATCCACTATTTTCTTGAAGAACTCATCTAGTAACTGTTTCTTTTTAATCTCTTCCACTATTTCCGGTTCATCCAACACTATTTTCTGATTGGTAAGTAAACAAGCTAAGTTTCCCATGGACTTCCGGCTAAGGGCATCAGCTACCGTGTTAGCTTTTCCAAGATGATACATAATTTGCAAATCATAATCCTTAATCAATTCTAGCTATCTATGCTGCCTCATATTTAACTCTTTATGGATAAAGAAATATTTCAAACTTTTGTGATCCGTATATACTTCACATGCAGCTCCATACAAATAGTGACGGCCAATTTTCAATGCAAAAATCACTGCAGCTAGTGCTAGATCATGAGTCAGGCAACTCTTTTCATGTGTTCTTAACTGACGAGAAGCATAGACAATTACCCTTCCATTTTGTATTAAAACGTATCGCAAGCCTTTATAAGAGGCATCACTATAAATGGTAAAGCCATCCGTCCCAAAAGGTAAGGTGAGGAATGGTGCTGCCACAAGTCTCGTCTTCAACTCTTGGAAAGCTGTCTCTCGTGGTTATGTCCACTCGAATGATACTCCTTTTTGGGTCAATTGAGTGAGTGGCAAGGCAATCTTCGAGAAGTCCTTTACAAATCTGCAATAGTATCCAGCCAAGCCCAAGAAACTACGAACTTCAGTTACATCCGTTGGTCTCGGCCAATTTACAATAGCCTCTACCTTTTGTGGATCAACAGAAATACCCTCTCTTGTTATCACATGTCCTAGAAATGTCACACTATCCAGCCAAAATTCACATCTCGACAGCTTAGCATACAATTTCTTCTCTCTCAACGTTTGAAGAGTAAGTCTTAAGTGGTGTTCGTGCTCCTCCTTGCTTTTAGAATAGATCAGAATGTCATCGATAAAGACCACAATGAACTCATCAAGAAATGACTTAAAAACTTTGTTCATTAGATCCATAAAAGCAGCTGGTGCATTTGTAACCCCAAAAGGCATAACGAGGAATTTATAATGACCATATCTTGTTCGAAAGGCAGTCTTCTCCACATCTTCAGCTTTAACTTTTAACTGGTGATACCCAAATCGCAGGTCAATTTTAGAAAACACCTGTGTCCCTTGGAGTGGTCAAACAGATCATCAATACGTGACAACGGGTACTTATTCTTAATTGTCACCTTATTCAACTCCCGGTAGTTAATATAGAGCCTTAGGGTTCCATCATTTTTCTTGACAAATAACACTGGAGCACCCCACGGAGATGTACTAGGCCTGATAAATTTCTTATTCAGCAACTCTTGTAACTGAGTCTTCAATTTCTTTAACTCGGTAGTTGACATCCGGTATGGGGTCTTAGAAATTGGTTGGGTACCTAGCACTATCTCAATAGTGAACTCGATTTCCCTATCAATCAAATTCCCGGGCAAATCATCTGGAAACACATTCGGGAATTCTTTTACCACAGGAATACTACTTACATCTGGTTTAACAGAAGTCGCTGCTGTTAGTACCGAACATAGAAACCCCTTTCACCCCTTATTAATCAGTTTATTCGCCTTCATAGAGGAAATCAAATATGGGGGAGGTATAACACTATCCTCGTTAAATATAACTTCAGGCTCATCCGGTACATGAAACACAGCTTGTTTGGTTGAGCAATCAATTGTAGCAGAATATTTTGCCAGCCAATCCATTCCCAAGATAGCGTCAAAATATACAATGTTCAAGGGTAACAAATCCACATACAAACTCACATCTCCAACAAGAATTTCACACGTAGGATACATAGATACACAAATCATAGTTCCT